ATACGACCGTATAAATTTCATTACGCGTTTCAATAAAATTAACCAAATTGATTATTCCTTTATCGTGCTGGACGCACACTATGCTATTCGCGATGTGCTCTACACTTTGATCGATTCGGTTCCGTTAACAAGAAACACATTGTTCGTTAAAAACCATACCTGAACACCGTGCGTCGCTGCTAGACGGGTAAATGGCGAGGTACTCGATGGAAACGTGAAAACGTTTCATTACGCACATATCAAGTATTTCATTTTCCGGGCTGTACTAGAACAATTTTTCAAGTGAAGTGAACTTATGTATCTCTAGCACCGACGATCGTTACAATCGGCCGCGAAAAATCGTCGACGAGCCGAGCACCGCGCTTTTTTCTCTCCTCTTCGTGTTATTATCGGAACTTCGACAGTCTGCCGATATTCCTCGCGTTTCGACGTTTGCATTAGGTTATTATTGTTAATATACGTCGCTACCAAATCACAGGTTTGATGAACTAATCCGACGCGATTAATTGTTCATATTGTAATATCTAGAGGGACGTTTTGAAGGTGAAAATAATGAATGTAACTAGTTCTCCATTGATCGGTTATCAGAATGGTTGGCATCATCTTTCAGAAAGTAGAAGTAATTCAATGAAATGTGTTCACCAGACCACCGTAGAAATTACTTAAATACATACAAAAAATGAGAAGAAATAGAATACTTGTAGAAGCAGACGATATGTGAAGAAAATACAATAGGTATGTAGTTATAACGTACATATATTTTCATATACGTTTAACATACAGGGTGTAACAAAAATGTTGGAGGACTCAGAAATACGAAACTCGTGAGGTGATTTGAAACAAGTTTTTCCTTAGCAAGAATGTTATCCGAGGCTTTGTTAACGAGATATTAACGAAAAAACCGGACCAATCAGAACACTATTCTTGGTATTCTTTGAATTATGAATGTTAAAAGAATAATTGATTATTTATTAATTTCTCATTCACCTGAATGTTTACTGTATCCAAGTCTGTGCTGCTTAATACTCGTTACCATATTTTAATTTTCCTTCTCTTTTTCGTTAACAGAATCGCGAAGCAAAATAAATCTTTCTCTTCTCCTACTCTTTCACGTGGCATCGAGTACCTTCGTTTATTAGCGACGACAATATTCAGTTATATTACACCTGTTGGTTTCTGTAATTAAAATCATCAAGTTTACAGTTTTCTATATCTATGTTTTTGTTCACTCCGGAAACCACGCCACATTATTCGAAACACAACTGTATTGTATACAGTACCGGCACTATCGCCCGTAACTTTTTACATTTTCCCACCGTGGCTGCTTTCTTCCGACGGATTTACCAGGCAAAAACTTACATACATTTCAAACCGGAACCAATGAGAACAACGGAGCCGCGATCACAGAAATTATTCAGGAAATTTCAGGAGGGGAAGGCGAAGCTAATGTATCCACACGAATAAATGCACGGAGCTGGCAGCGAGGGTGGCAGTGTCATCGTTTTAAACCCGAAAAATATTTGAACCGTCGCGTCGTCTAGGCTACAGCTTTCGCATCCAATTGAAAAATATTAACTACTGGAACGCGATAATCAGCGAAATAATTCGACGGTGGCATCAACAATGAAATGTAATATGCCCCCATCCACAAACGAACGCTACTCACTATTTCCGGGCTACGTAGCGACGTATCGATCCTCAAGTATTATATTTCCCTCCGTCTATTTTGCGTGGCCGCGTGCAACGAGACACTCCGGTTACAAAAGAATCGAAAACGCGCAAAGTTTCCAAACGGCAACTTCCCGTTCGTTCTCTGTCATTTTAATTAATTAATGGGACCGACACACGTAACGATGTATTCAGCTGCGACATTTCGCGTACAGTTTCATGGCGAACTACGCGTTGACTGGGGATTAGTGTATAGCACTAATCCGAGGAAGTTTGATATTTTGTTTTAACAAACGATAAAACTTGTCTCGATATTTGCTCGACGAGAAGATCGAGATAAATAATCGACTAATCTCAACGAGCTAGGCGATGGAAAGTGTGAGTGCATTCGGGATATCCTGAGAAATGTGTTGCTCCGAGTTATGTTATCCTTTTTGGCCAGGTGAAATGAGCGTATTCAACGGTGGACACTTATCTAATGTCATTTTTAAAACATAGTATTGTCCATTGTATTTCTATAAAAAAAGCAACGTATCATGGCAAAACAATAAATCTTCAGGCTTTAATGTATGATGTTGTCTTCTTTTAAAAACCGTCGGGAGGTTTTGTTATTTATTATTTTTTCTCTTAAGTATCTTATTGGGTTCAGACTAAAATGGAACAATTGAATTCGATGAAAGTTTCGTATTTTACTGCATTTTACAGAGCCCTATGGGCTATAAATGCATAAAATCTGCAGTCTAGTAATAACAAAAGAAATTGAATTATTTAAAAATTAACTCAAGAGGCTGTAATGTTTCTGTCGATTTATTCCTTTTGCGATAAATGTTGACAGTCACTGATGAGTTACTTAAGTATGTACATAGGTACTTGTCTTTTTTTACTAGGTACTTGTGTCTTTACTTCTTACAGTATTCCCTTACCATTATCTAATAATATCAGTTAGGATACTCACCATATTTTATATACTGTATTAAAATATGATATTCATATTCCCGACAACGGCTTTGCAAAACCATACGAATGATAAAATTTATCGTTTTTCTACTTAATTGTTAATTCAATCGCTCGTGGTAATTAAATTTATTACACAATTGCGTACATTTATGCTGTATAATGAAATATTTATATATTTTCTAACCGAAATTATTGAAATCTGTTAAACCTCATGTTAATGAGCAATTGGAAACGTTCATATTAATTACACATATTACTGAATGTAATGACAGATGAATAATGAGCAAATTAAGCCTCCGAACACGGAAGCATGGTCACCGGTCCCGATGTCATTTCTGACTCTGACCCCACACCGATATTCTACTAATGCATAGCGACGATGAGGCTTGAGCTCGAGACCGTAATCGATGTACTAATTCAGTCGGTTTTAGACTGCGATCGGAATTTCGTTATTCGTACCTATATGAAAGAATAATAACCACATGAATTCTACAAAAATATAATTATTCTAAGTTTATATTATCATAACTATTGCATACAATTCGATGGCAGCAAAAACAAACGGACAACTGTAACTTTTTCGATTGTCACTTTTTTACATAAATAGACTAAAGATTATTTGGAATATCATTTATAATCTGTTGATGTAAAAAAGTAAAAATCGATAAAATTGCGGTTATCCGTTTGTAATTTGTTGCCGTCGAATTGTAGGATTTTGGGTAGAATGGTTATTGCAAACATGCTTCTTACAGTAATCAGATGTCGAAGCATTTTGGTTACCGTTCCCTTGTTAAGAGATACAACGAAAACAATAAAAAACAGACTTTTCTAAAATAAATATTCTGACTCGCCGGACACGTCGTGTTTCTTCAGACTTCAGAGCGTTTGAAGGAACTGATTCGTGTCTTTGGCTTCTGCCCCTCCAACGCTATTTCTCGAACAAGTCGCAGAACTTCTGTCGTTTACAAAAAGGACAGCGAGTGAAAAGGAAATACGGAGTGAGGTGAAGACGTAAGTCAATACTTCTGCGGCGTGTTGGCCCGGCCGTTCATATGTCACAAACATCGGCCGCTTTCCGATTTACAAGACGCTCCGTCACTGTGTGCGTGTCGCTCTCGCTCTCGCATGACCCAAGCACCGTGCTCGAAGGGTTAATAATGCATGTTTTCCTAACTATATTATGTCATTTTTTAGGTATATTTAATGACACAAGAAAAAACGATTTTTCGTTAATAAGTAGGTCGTAATTAACGGGGACGTTTGTCTTAATATATTAAATCCTTGTATTACATTTTTATTGAATTGGTTGGCTCTTAAGAGTTTGGAAATGTTTTGATCATTTTAACTAGAAACTAATATCTATCATCACTTAGCTACGGATGTTTATGCATTCATAACGAATAAAAACTCACACACGCAATATAATACCAAATTTAATAAAATTAATATCTATATGTAGGTATTCTGAACACAATAAAGCATCAAATGCAGGCAATAAATTTCTGTATGGATTTAAGTTTTATCAATTAGTGTCTAAATCTACGAATTCGCATGAAGATTCGCTTCTACTTATGAGCGTATCGACAGTTTATACAAATTGACTGGATCATAACAAAAATGACACCAGTCAATTTTTGTTTTTTTTTCTGTAAACTACACTGACGCCTTTAAGAATTTTAAAAATAGATTAATTTTCTGTTCTAGAAGTGCTTTACTAGAATTTTTTGTTGTCACAGAACCGAAACATTTGACAAGGTTCAGTTTTGTTATGAGCCCCTTAATTGTAGTACAATAGAGCCTCCCGTATCCGAACTAAGAGGGAGACATTAGTGTTTGGGTGAAGAAATTAAGAAATTTGCAGTTAATAAAACAGTCTCTTTCTGATACTAAACTTCATTTATTTAAATAGCGATCAAGAAAATTGTGAATATATTTAAATATTTATGGATTCCAAATCTTTTTGAGTACCCGTAGAGTATTAGTTTCATACTAAATTGTTATCGGAATTAGTTTCGATCGAACAAAGGAAAGTATACATTATATGCAAGCATTACATTGTAGTTTCAACAGGAGAAGGTTGCATCTGTTGCTAGGAGACACTCTTTTCGGATAATAGAACGTTCGGATATGAGGGTATTCGGATAATGGATGTTCGTATACGGAATGCTCTACTGTACTTACACGTCTAAGCTCTGAAACCTTTTTCCATTTATCCGAATTGCAACAAACTGTCCTCAGCAGAAAGTAGCGAAAATCGCTTTCCCTTGCTGTGTCAACTGTGTTCTCGTTTACTAAATGAATATAATGTCGTAGAATTGCTGCGTGCAAGATATGCAAATCGAAGGAGTTTTTCATGTGCATCGTATGTGTTTCAGGCGGCGCTTCCCTACCCGAATTCGCTGGTCCCATCACCAACTTAACCGTACCGCTCGGAAGGGACGCAACTTTTACGTGTCTGGTCAAACATTTGGGGGGTTACAGGGTAAGTTTCCCCTATGAAAATTCATCGATCGCTGACGTATGAAATTCTTTCGAGAGGGACGCATATAACATGGACATTTTCGACAGCCCTCTTGTTCATTCAACATTTTTCTTTGTTTGCAATATTAAAAATTCATTTAAGGTAGCTCACGCGTTTGGGTGTTATATCTAGCTGTGGCTCCATATGACGCTTTATACTTTTTATGAATTTTACCAATTTAATTTGAATGATTAATATTTGAAACAAATTCAAAATTCTGAAATAGACAAGAAATTTACAAATAAGTCGAAGGAACAAAAATTTTTTGCCTTATTGTAAAAAAAATGTTATTTCTTTATTTAATTTTTAAGAAGAGGTAAGCTAGTTGGTATGCTTCAATCGAAATAGTGTCTACAATAATTCAATTCAATGTGACCATTTTCAAATTTCATTACGATGTAAGAATGAATGAATGATTTTGATCAATTTGTACCATAATCACATGGGTATAACAATTTACATTGTAGTTAACATCAAACAGTGTCATTATAATTTTTTTTCTTCCCTATTATCATTAATTCTATTCAAAATGTTGGGGAAGTGTATTGGTAACATTAAGTTCCGTACTATTTAAAATAATAAATCCTAAACAATAAACATGTACTTCTCTAAAATTTAAACTACATTCACAGTTCCTCATCTAATATTACTATTACGATACTAACCCGACAAAATTGTTTGCTTTATAATCGTCAAGAGATCGTATACTCGTTTCAACCTCTTCTATCCGATATTGCATTATTCTCTAGTAATTTGTACGAAACGTCCGACAGAGTATAATAACGCGAAAAACGTGTTACGATTCACAATGCGAAAAAAGTGGTACGAGTATTACAATTCGCGGTGGTGCACGGTCACGTTTTAAATTGGAGGGAAACAGTGATTCGAGGAACGGAATTGACAAAAGCGGGGAACGTTTATGTCGTGAAAAGGAGTGGAATTTCGTCTTCTCGATAAATTACTCTGTCTGTCACTGATTCAGTAGACTCGAATGTTCATACGTATGTTATTTTTTCCTTATGATACTATATGTACTAAAAGATAGTCACCCATTAATTTGTTTCAAACTTAGTAGTTATTACCACGAATTTAAAACGAATCCACATTAATAATATTACTCATTTTTCTTCAATAATCAATGATCATTCTTATTACACAAGATGTAAGAGACAAAGTATTACATTTGCATTACATCTTTTTAATGTCCAAAACAGTCATGGAATACTGCTTGGTGCACCTAATAAATTCACTTACACATTAAATTGTTCACACACAGTGTTAATGGTTTGCATGCTTCGAATTGTTCAAAATAGCTATAAAAAATTGTATTGAATTTGAATAATTAAATTAGTACATAACTCCACAGTCCTTCAACGATAATTATCGTGGAAAAAAAATGGAAAGAACATTCCGCGGTTTGTGCAACACAGGAATATTTAATCAAATTAAAGTAACTGCTTTCAATTAATTGAAATGCTCGCAACTGGCTATCGTTGCCAAAAAGAAATCTCTACTATCGAAATGAATATTTACTTTTTACGGTAGAACAACTAATATGTTCAATAATCTGACACATTTTTAATCTTCTTCCATTTATATCCTCGACAGTGAAAGTAAAACTAGTTCTATCAAACTGACATATTTCTGAGAATATTTGGTCGAAAATCGTCTGCAAATAAAACTTCAGTTAGCAGAACTTTCATAGACGAGACAATTTTCGAAATCGACGAAGAGAGCAAAAGAAAATTCGAATGTTCTGTATTCAGCCACGGAAAGCTGCTTTTTCGACGAGACCAATTTCTTGAACACCCTATTCTACTAAATACACATGCACTCTTCTTGATTCGATTTCCATTCTCCTATCTCCTCCCAGTGTTTGGCCAGAAAAGTATAACCGCTGTCCCCTTTGTCGTATTAGATTTCATACCCGCGGCCACGAAGACAATTTCCTTATGCGTCATCGGACAGGGTCCCGAGAAAGGGTGGTCGAGACGCGAGGGTCATAAAATAATCTATAATAATTGAAATAATACAGATAGCAGATTATAAATTGTAGATACCAATTCCAAAAGTCGTAGATTTCCACTTTATCGAGATCAAGGAGAACAGCGTAAATTTAATTACAATTTTAAAAAGGAAAGAAAAGATCAAGATCATCTTCTTCTCATGAGTTAACATTGTCACGGTGAAGTCCCATGGTCAGTTGAACGTCATTTTTGAAACAATATTGAAATTAACTCGGACATAGTATTAACCTTTCGCGGTCCAAACTGTTTTTAGTATTCTATTTTGCGCTTGCAGAAATACTACATAGTTTAATTACATTTTAATGCTTTGATTTCGTAATGTATCCATAACATTTAAGAAGTATTAAGATAGTATTTACGGACACTACAACAAATTATGTATGGAACTCCCCTCGTTTAATTTCACATAAGCGATTTAATTTTTCAATTTCAGAAAAATATATAAAATTGTCGCTGCAGACATCCTACTAAAATGTAATTAAAACAAACGTTCTTTCCTCACTTTACCTTCTAACAAATTTAATATGTATTTTTGAGAAGATTAAATTAATCCAACCACTGTTATTCATTTTAATACTAACATGACACATTTCAAAGCTGCAGTAACGTCTCCCTAAAATAATAAACCGGGGAAGATAATAACAAAGTAACAATATTAGTAAAATTCTGTATTTCCTTAAAGTATGCACACTACTTCTCTTTAGTTGGTGTAAACGATTTTTTCCCCCCAAAGAAAGCACAACTTCGCGACGCAAACTTACAAGAAAACGTATGCAAGTTAGTCGCTCCATTCTCCGTTATTAAAAACTATAGTTATCCTCCATTCGCTCCAACTACCTGCTGATTATCTTCAATAATGTCAACAGTTAATATGGTTGTACTGGCATAAATGAAATGATCGCACGAATGAATTCTTATGCGCCACGGATAGAACGGAAACCACATTTATCCTGTAATTTCTATTATGCTCGCGAAAAATTTCACAATTTACTATAATTCCATACCCTAACGAGTGCTACCAGATCTTTTATAAGATTCTCGCAAATACAGTTTGTCTAAAATCGTCCAAAGTAGCAGTAGTGCTGACGAAAAAATGAAGGTGCTGTTAACGTGGGATTTAAATTCAAGTTCTTTTTTATATGATACCTTAAAAAAATGAAAGTATATAATGAATTATGGAAATAAAAATGAAAATATATAATGAGTTATGCAAATAAAAATGTATATATATATTGTATATATACATATATATATATATATATATATATATATATATTTAAATTGTCCAATTTGCGACTTTTAACTCCTTTAAAAAATTCTTTGCAATTTTAGTGGCGTTTGCAATTGTTGAAGCGTTCTGTCTGAGGGGGGGGGGGGATCAAGCGTACCACTCGCAGTCTCTACCGGATTATTTTGTAATTCAATCGCTCCTGTCCGACCAATCTCAGACCATTCTACTGGCTAATTATGTTATTTAATGCTGTGTCCTGACGTTACAAAATGTTATTATCGACGCATTACATTTTCCCCTCGATTATGAGGTAGACGTAATTAAAATGCAATGTTATCGGTAAATACACTGCTCGTTAACGGAATTTTTCATGTCATAATTTAGTGGACATTGAATATATTGCTTTGGAACGTGTATTTTCGAAAAAAGAAAAACTTGTCACTTGTCTTTAAATCACATGGTCGGCCACGTGGGGTTTGTCAGGCCTTGTACGATATAACTCTATAATCTAAATTATTGTTTATATTATTATTATTATTTTTATTATTGTTATTTAGTTTCTCTTCAGCGTTTTCCACTGAGTTTTATCTCTATTTTACGCGTTAAAACCAAGTAAAATAGAGGTTCACTATTTTGATGTTAATGGATTCATGAATTTCCTGACCACGTTGCATGTGTGTAGTATCACTGCTTTCTGGATGTTTGTGTGTATGGATGGATGAATGTTTATTTTGTGTAAGTTTTCTGTGAATGATTGTGGAGTTATGCTTGTTGGAGATATGATTAATGGTATTATTTTAATTTTGTTTTGTTTCCAGAGGTCCTTTATTTCTATGGCTAGTGGTGTGTATTTTCCTATTTTTTCTTCTTCTTTTTGTTTTATGTTTGTGTCATTTGGTATCGCGATGTCTATGAGATATGTGGCTATGTCTGTCTTGATGATGTATGTTATGTCTGGTCTGTTGTGTGCTATTGTTCTGTCAGTGTGTATTGTTACGTCCCAGTATAGTTTCATTTGGTCATTCTCTACTATTGTCTCTGGTTGGTATTTGTAGTATGGTATTTTTTCTTGTATTAGGTGATGTTTTAGTGCTATTGCCCGATGAATGATTTTGGCCACTGTATTGTGTTTGGTTGTGTATTCTGGCGCCGCAAGTAGTCTGCATCCACTAGTTATGTGATGTATTGTTTCTGTAAATTGTTGGTATATTCTGCATTTATCTGTATGTCTGGGTTTTTAAATATGTGTTTTCTATAGTATCGTGTCGGTATGGTTTCATCCTATTATTACTATAGTGACTTCTTCTGTTTCAAGAATGAAAAAGTTCAAGAAATATGCAGTTATGTTATTTGGAATTATTTAATAGTACTGCTTGATTTACATATTAAAAATTCTGTAAAATGAAATATCCATTAATTCAAGTTCTTAATTTTCTTATTTTGCGTAGCATCGTTTCGTTTTCAGAGGTACCATTCACTGCGAAATACCCTTGTACAAAGAGCTTGAAAAACTAACTAAATATCAAAGAATTTAATCCACCAGGTAAAGCCTTTAATACGTATACAGTGGAAAACAATAGTATTGGAAGACCTTATTTGCTTAAAAGTTAAACGCAACTAAAACCGCGTACTCAGCGTTAATCCTTTCGCTATTTAGTTTGCACGACATATATATGTATGTACATGTATTATACTATAATAAACTTTGCAGTTAATCTATTGCCGCTCTGTTTACAAATATATAACAGAGTTCGACATTAATTGATTACTTTGCGGTTACTTAAATAATTGCTTTATGATTATCGTTATAATGATTCTATTCAATTAATCAGTAACTATGAATGACACTTGTATTCTGTAATCATATTATAAATCAATAATTTATAAGCAGTTAATAAAACACCATTCTATCTTTTACTTGAACCAGTAGTTTATTGTACATACAGGATAATAATATAAGTCTCACGCGTTTGTAAACATTTCTTAATAGGGTGGAAACACCAGTAAATGAACCCGCACCAGTGAATGAACATTATATATAAAAGCGAGTAAATTAAGGTATTAAAATAAAACAAATAATTAAATACTGATTTCTTTCAATACCTTGTTTTATGTTCAAACAATTTTCGTGTCAATAGCTAGAAATGTTCATTTACTTAATATTGTTGCGTCACTAGTGAAATCTGTTTTTTTCTTTTTAATTTAGTCAATTACACTTTTTTAGTTTTTAAATATAAAATCTATATTTTATAAAAAGGTATAGTTATTAAAAAATCTAATTTTCATGTGCATGTGTGTTTTATTTTCTAAATAAATGAATAGAAGTTTTCCGACAATTAAATCAGTTTTCCTTGTTAACTATTAATATTAACATCCTAGTATTAAATTACTGATTCAATCGTAATAAAACATGTTATCGTTTCGTGATTAATGATGCGTACATTAATCGAGCCTCATGATTATATACGCTCTCATTACGTTTATTACTCATCGACCACAATTACAGATTGCTCTGTAATCATAATCATTTATCAGTGATTCGATTAGACAATAATCATAATTGTTAATCATTAATCAGATTATATGTCTCTTAACTTCGACATCTTATAGTAAACAAAAACGTACGAAAGTATTTTCAAGACTAATAATCGAGTATGCAACAGTTTATAAAGAAGTATCAGAAAATATATTCTTTGTGTTTATGTAGAAATAAAATTACAATATCAAGGTTTTTAAAGATGCATAACAACCTGTTTTCTTTAGTTCTTGAGTCTCCATGGATCGACCGAGTAGTCGGAGTCCGGGCATAAGAAAAAGTCCAATGAATCGCATTATCACAATTTACGAATAAAAGTCCACCGTACCATAAAATCAAACGAATAGCATCTGTTCACCTGAACACGGCTACAATCGATCAGTCGGTTACGAATAAATTTCAATTACACCTTCCCGAATGCAAGAGCCACTCTGGGAAAACAATTCCGAACACCATTACAACATCCCTCGAGCACACCCGGTAACCCCTTTTCTATTAATACAAGCGTTTCTCGAGACCGCACCGAGATGCCGCTTCTGCGACTTCGCGAGATTTGGAATATTCGAAGGAAAATGCAAATATCGTGCCGAAGTTTGGCCAAGGAGATAGAAGACGTGTACGCACCCCTCTTATACGTGCCACTCACTCCTTCTCTCTCTCTCTCAGTCTCCGTCAAGGCATGCAGCTTGTTTGTATTCCGTATGCGGCCTGTCTATAGGGAAATTGCGGTGTTCCCCGGCCTCGAAATCTATGAACACGTCTCTGACCTGCGATCGTACTCGACGCCTCCTTGTACGGCTGTCTCATTAACCCCTTCGATCTGACCGAAGGACCTTACGCTACGCTAAGAGGCTCAGCCAGAGCGGTTTTCCACTAAATTGCTCGCTAAATTGAATCAGTCACATCGAAACGGTGTCCCCGAATGACTGAGACTTCGTGACGGAGGCGAATCAATTTCTGCGAGCAACTTTTTGCCGAGGAAATACAGTGGGTAAAAAGAGTATTCGCACACTCTTTAAAACAAAACAGCTTTTTTTTAAATTGGACCGAGTGACTTCAGTTTCTTTGTGGAGTTAGGAAGATTAGTTTACTAAACGATGTGTAACAAAAATTTCGACAAAGCTGCACTTGGTTGGAATCACGAAGAGAATAGTAATGGTCGTTTTTTATAACTTTCCTATCTGAGACTGTAATGAAAATTTAAGAAATGCATTTTTTAGATTTGTTAGATATTCATGCTGAAAATTTCATGGAAATCGATTAATGTTGTTATGAGATACAAACGGTTAAAATGTTGAAAATCGTTGTTTTTTGCGACTTTGGACCTAGAACTGCCCTGGATCTAAAGATTTTTATATTTTTCGATGTCTGTTGTTCGTTTCTATATTAACCGATTTCAATCAAAGTTTCAGCATGTATATAACTAACATAAATCTTCGAAATGCATTTGTTAAATTTTCATTAGAGTCTTAGTTAAAAAAATTATAATAACGACCTTCACCCTTTTATTTACCACTCTAACGAATTGCAACTTTTCAAAATTTTGTTAACACATCATTTAGTAAACTAATCCTTCTTACTTTATAAAAAAACTGAAGTCAATTGGTTCAACAACCAACACATTTATTTAAAAAAATAAGTTTTCACATTAATATAATAGCATGTTTGATTTTTCTTAGTCAATTTGACATATATGGCGTTAGTAATGTTAATATACCGGTTTGTCTACATCTTTCGTCATGTTTCAATATGTCTATTAATACAATATACGTACATACCTACTTATAACGTATTAACAAAGGCTTAAATGACTTCTGTTTACACGTTTTTTCCTTATTTCAATCGATAAAATATACTGACACTGTTTGGTATAAAAAATCTGAGGCACTCTGCGTAACATATAAATATACTTTCATATGTATAGTAGTATTGGTAGTGGTCAATACAAATTGAATACTTAGTGTACCTAATCTATGATCTACAATATGAAGTTAAAGAAGATCATATAATTATACATAATGTATAGTCATATAAATTTTAATACACATTACTAAAAGAGTAGTCTTTGCTTGATAATACTCCATGAGTAAAACCACATTGACCAATCATTATGTAATGGTACTATTAAAAGAAGGAATGCTCCTATGAAGTAATGTAATAACTAGACTGCGGATTTTATGCATTTATAGTCTATAGAGGTATGTAAAACACTATAAAAAACAAAGCTTTCATCCGATCCCACGAATTCTATATTTTATTCTGAATCCAATATGGTACTTAAAAGAAGAACAAAATTTCTACATTTGTTTTTGTCTTCATGAATTACTTTAGAAAATCTAATTTTGCATAAAAATCCATAGTCTGGTAATAACTTTACCAGAAAGTAGGCACAATTATATTTCTGAGATTCCTTTTCCTAATAGTGTCCCGTTAAAGCCAGAAATCACTTTACGTTCATGTTACTTCTTCGCATTGTCGTTTATTGTCGCGATTCCCGACACGAATTTATCAGGACGCGGTGCAATTTTTCTAACGGGAATGTCCCCGACAGGTCGGCTGGGTGAAAGCGGACACTAAGGCGATCCAGGCGATCCACGACCGCGTAATAACTCATAACAAGAGGATCTCAGTGTCCCATAGCGATCGTACGATGTGGAATCTCCACATAAAGGGCGTGCAACAGGAGGACGAAGGTGTCTATATGTGTCAGATTAACACGGATCCCATGAAATGGCAAGTAAGTTGGTAACCATAGTTTCTAAAAATTATCGTTTCACAGTACGCGTGACATTTGCATGACCATCGGCGTGTTTTTTCAGTCCTATAATTATATAAGCTGTCATTAAGAATCCTAAAAACTGTTTTTTGTTTTTAATAATTATCGAGAATTGTAGGGGACAATTAAAATGCGTTCATATTTGGTTCCCATAGCCAGAATTTACAACATGTATACAGTAACTTTAAAGAAAAGATTCTTAAATAAATTGGTATCTTTGTTATGTAAATCTTAAAATTACTGAGGACGGGAGTTGGTCGTTAACAGTCGCGTGAATGTGAAATTCATCTTTTTATTTCCAATTAGCATATTAATGCAATCTGAAGTGCAGAATAAACTTACAGGGGTGATCAGCATAGTGTAACACGCCGATTTTTATGCCATTTGGCACGAAGGTAGTATATGTATTGAAAAAATATTTCACGCGATTGTTTTTTTAGATAATGCCATTCGTATCGGGGGGGTTGGGGTGAAAATAGCCCTCAGAGTTTGGAGTTAAGTGTGTTCTTTCATAATAAAAATATAAAAAGTTGCCTGTTCTTTAATAATAAAACATTAAGAATTCTGTGTTGTAGCCTATTGAGGGCAAGAATTAATTGATAATTATTTCTGAATTGGTTTTATAATAAATTAAACAGAAATTGGACATTTGACCACGAATATATTTAAAAGATACTTTTTTGAACTGAAACGAATTGAATACTGATATATCGCCAATATTTTTTCATTAAAAGTAGCCGAATAAAAGTCCAATCCATTTAAATATAAACGTTTATATCCCTTCGGTTACTCCTAGGATCCGTGGTCAATGTATTTTCGATCTCTCTCTTCCCCTCTCTCTCTTTCTCCTCTCTCTTTGACCATTTGGCTCTTCTCTTTCAAACTAAATGGCGCGTATAGTTTGAAGAGTTCATGGGCTTTCGAGCTTTTGACATCTATGAAACTAATATGGAAGCAGTTCAAGCACGCACAAGTTATTACCTTTACCTATTCATACGAAATTTAAGAAACCTGAAATGCTATAATTATTTAAGTGACTTAATAAATTGATATTACCATACATGTTATTTCTCTCCAGAAATATAACACTAAGTTTGTTTAAACAAGTAATGTCATGAAAAAAGGTTGTTCACAGACGAATTTGAATTATTTCACGTTTAATAGTAAAGGTGTCACTCTTTTTAGATTTTTAATATCAAGCAAAATTTAATTTGATTAATAAAACGTCTTACTGATTGTGAACAGCATTAAGAAAGAATTATTGTAATTATTTAGAACATGGTCCTCAGCACCGATTTCAATGACGTTGAAATATATCGTCAAGACCATTATTCTGAACAACTTTTTCCTATACATATAATAGGCGGTCTCTTTTAGTTTCCAAGATATTCGCGAAAAACTGCTACTACCACTACATTGAATTTTGTCTATACGTACATTTTGTCTATACGGTCGTAACTTTAGAACCGTTTGGTAAGAATTGAACGAGAATCAATCACTAACTTCGAACTATTGAATGGATTTATGTAAGATAAGTCTCTATATGTAGAAATGGTGAACTTTGCATTAATTCCTCTATGTGATGGACTTTACACTGTTTGGCTCTGAACAAAATATGAACTTAATGTCATTTCTAGACTATTATATTGAAAACTAGACAACTTAGAACGAAATAATTACTTTCATCGGAAAGAATGAAATATTTGATTCAAGAAACATGTAAAATGAGATTTAAAAAAAAGTGGACTTAATACATTCTGGCTCTGGGGTCCAGATATTCATAATTCCATCGAGCACACTATGTAGTTGCATAATAAAAATCTAATTACTAATTACAAAAAAAGTTTTAAAACTTTATTGTCGTTTACGAACCGGCCTTTTGCAAAAATAGGGTATTAATAGTTCGGTTTAGTCGGAGACACTCGAATTTACGCGGTGAAAGGGGATTTAATGCAGGTGCGATTAGACGGAGAAAGCGAAAAAGGAAATTTACCTAGGCATGGCTGGCTATCGGACACGTTTAGCCGGTTGCTGTTTCGAGTGTTTTCAGTAACTAAGCGGTCGGAATCAGAGCTTTCTGTGAGCAGTTTAGCCAGCAGGACGAATCGTGGTAAGCCGGGAAACTCGGTGAAATAACTAATTGGAAACGGTACCACCGACACTATTTAGATCGATAAAGTTCCAGGATGCACGTCGTTTGTGGGACACATCAATTCCAATTAGGTGACTCTGTATGCTCCTCCGATACGACCTTTCGCACGGTATCAAATTCCTTCATCGTATTGCTTCGAGTCTTCAGAATTTAATCTTTAGAGTGTCGGAATTTTTTTCATAAAAAAGTGATCTTCTTCGGCCATAAATAGAACAACTTTCTTACAATTGGGCCAAGTGACTTGAGTATTTTTCTGAAGTTAGAAGGATTAGTTTACTAACCGATGTGTGAACAAAATTTTGAAAAAAAATACAACTGATTGAAATCACGAAGAAAACAGTAAAGATCGCCTCTTTCAAATTTTTTATCTGAGACTGTAATGAAAATTTAAAAAATACATTTCTTATATGTATGTATGTAAGTTATATTCTAAAATCTAGTGTTAATGAACTAAACTATTGGATTGTCCCATAAGTCCTTACCATTTCCAACCACTTTTATTTTCATTTTGTATTTACGAAAACTTAAATTCTATTCTACCATATAATCATCGGCATTATCAATAGCATTCAGCTATCTGCTCGACAAGTTTTGAATGCCTTTCCCCCAGAAAGGGATGCAGAAATGTCACCAATGTACTTTTTAAGGGTGGTATAATTGTCAAACTTCTTGCCTAGCAGATGTCGTTTAAAAGCTCGGAACAAGTGAAAGTCCGAAGGTGCAATGTCCGGGCTGCATGGTGGATGGGGTACAATAAACCATTCTAGCTCCTCGACCTTCTCACGCGTCAACTTTGCGGAATGAGGTCAAGCGTTATCGTGGGGAGGCCGAGTTGTTTCGGCCGTTTTGTTCGCACGGCATCGGCCAGCTTATGGTGCTGGTCCCTCTAGCGGTTAGCGTTGATCGTCTGGTTAGGCTTCAGGAGTTCCCAGAAGAGCGTTCCTGGCGGGTCCCAAAAGACCGTCAGCATTAACTTTCAACCGTGTGGATCGTGCTTTGGCTGGGCTGGCAGAACTTCACTGTGAGGAAGTCAAAAGGCGTAGCTTGTGTCATTTTCGTAGCGTACCCAGTTTCATTTCCAGTAATAATTTTCTTAAGAAAGTCCTGTCCGTGCTGGGTGAGCAACAAACTTTGAAAATGCTGACACCTGCGGCTCGATCATGATCGGTCAACGCGTGAGGTGTCTATTATGACATCACTTTGCGGTAGCCACTGATCTGTATACAGAGTGTAACGAAAATGTTGTCTGGCCCGGAAATGGGGCACTCGAAGGGTGAATTGGAACAAGTTTTTCCTTAGAAACAATGTGATCTGAGGCTTCGTTACTGAGATATTAACGAAAAACCCCGACCAATCAGAGCACGAGTTTGTTGGCTACAAATTGCAGCACGTTAAAGGAAACGTATTTCAGTGAATCTTCGTAGTGTAACAATTGATTGAACCGTTACAATTTTATGTCATATTGGGAGGAGACAAATTGAAAAATTCTATGAATGCATGAATATTCACTAGTAGTGTCTAATTAATGAGAGGTTTTAGCAGTCTAATCGGTTCCCAAATTTTTGTTAACGGGAGCAGATTTTTTTGTGTGTAATTTTTTTGCTGTACAAATATATGTATAGAATATATAGTATACTGCTGTGTGTAGAAATTACCACACTAACAAAATGAACATTTTTATCTATTTTTGATGTTGACACAACAGCTGAAGAAGTATAACCTTGATTATGCGAGGAGCCCTGTTTAGCCAATTCTTAATAAATATTTAATATCAAGTGTGCTTCCTACTATGAGGAAAATCTTATTCACCCATATGACGTTATGTTGGGTTGGTCTTGCAATTTCCATGCATAGCGGTACAAATAACGTCTCGTAGACGTTGTAACAATTGTGTGTGAGCCACATATGATATTAGAGCGTGTGATGTTCAGCACGTGAAAGAAGAACCAGAAGTCATAAAAGAACGCAATAAACCATACACGTACAGCAAAGGTCGTGCCACACATTCACAGCATAAAACATGGTGCCTGAATTGAATATACAAGAATTTAGTTCCTCACTTTGTCCTAACATTTCACTTATAAAAATTGTCTCGAATCTGAAAAATGTTTTTTTTTTCTTACCTCTTATGGTACGTCTCAGCAGAATTCAAGTATAGAAACATTATAGAAAAGGGGCTCTGGAGTATAAAAAGAAATAGGATTGCTGTTGTTCATAATGAAAAGATTTTTAATAGCTTCAAAAGATTTCACCAAGTTTTCTCTTCTTCTAGCTTATATCGTGATTAACGTTTACAAAATATGGTTATTTATTTTCTACTGTTCACAATCCGAAGGTACGAAAGAGAATTGAGTACTATTGCCGAATATTTCCATACTTCTGAGGGCTGTTAGTGTCTATCAACTGTATAGTAATATGAAGCCACAGTGTTAACTGAAATATGAAGATATACTGGGTCTTAGTTACCTTCGATGCAACAATCCCTACAAGTATCGAAGGTATTTCTCTGGAGATGCTGGAGCACAGCATTCCAGGAAACTTAACAAGCCGCCTACGCTTGTTCTGGAACGTCAGCTCTCGTTTATGAACACCTTGGAAGTAATGCTTAGATTTCAAGCTGTTTCATTCACAGGCGAGATTACTGCCATCAGACTCGCATTAAACTATTTACGCTTCTGGGCGCTATTGCCGTGGTTCGATGGCGTTAAGTACTGATAATAAAGGTTCATTAATTGTTGAAAATCTATTAAAAATCAATTTGTCCAATATTAGAACACATGTTCGTAAAAGTTTGTTACGTGTTTGAAAT